TTTTCAGGAGCGTAATCGATTCTTCTAAAATTACATCTGATAAGACCGATATATTGTGGAAATACGCCTAAGATGCTTTCAGATTTCGACCTGTATTTCGACCTGTTGCGGTGCAAAGGATTGATGACGCACAAATTCGCTGTGCCTATCTAAGTTTTGCTAAGGCCCTTAAAGGCCTTTGAATTGAACTCTTTTAAAAAAATGTCATCGTGTAGCTGGATTTCGACGTCTCTTTGGTTTGTAGTGTTCGGAATCGAGACCAAAAGGAAATCATCACGATGGCGGATGAAGAGTCTCGCTTCTACTCTTTTCCTCAGTCAGTCAGCTACGAGGATTATGACTCTCTTGAAAAGAGACATCACAGGATATTCACAGATCTGATTATATAACCGATTAACGACGGCTATGCAGAGCTGTAAGTATTAGACTAGCACACTCGTATCCATCGAACTTTGTTATGAACGTGGTGGTGAGAAAAGGAAAAAAGCCTAGACCGGGAAAAGACTATTATATGAACGCGTAGAAGATACTCAATTGAACGAATTTGACTGAGAATGAGAACGAGCACTGGCCAGAAATCAGAAGGACAGAAAGGCTAGGATCAAAGATATAACTCCCAGATTCATCACCTTCACACCCTGTTCAGAACTTGCGATAAGGAGCGAGCGTACAAGTAAACAGAAGTAAATAGGAGATAACGAACGTGCTGTGATCAAATATACACTTGTCACCCCCGACGCTTGTAAATAAGGACATGACCATGCCAGGGTATCTGTGCTCCAGAGAAAGAGAAAACCTATCTTCCATATGACAGTTAATAATTTCACTGGTTGAAGCAAGATTCCTATTCGCTATTACTCGTAAATATTACCTATCCAGTAACTGCAAAAATCAACTATTCATGAGGTGCAAGGACATCAGAGCCAAAAACAAGCTTCCGTTAGTGACTTAAGCTCCATGCAAAATTCTAATTGATCAGAAGTGTGCAGAGTAAAGTCCATTAGCATCCTATACTTGCCGTAAGGCATGCATAAAGATAAAGTTGGGAGGAATTGAGTTTCGAGCAAGGGAGGCAACCCAATCCAGGAGACCGTCCATTTTCAATTTAAATCCTCAAGAGACAACTAATCTTTAAGTGCTTTCTAGTAATGAACATTTGCTGAAACAAATGTCGAACCACTGAAGGAATAGCAATCAATTATCTGAATAAAGGCAGCACATAGTAGCCTAGAAGAGCCAACGAAACGATATTAGGTGACAAGAATGTAGAAAATAGCGTTGCGTAGACATGACTATTCAAATTTATCTAAATCCAAAGTTAATCTGAAAGAAGTGCCATAAACCTTAGTGAGAAGCGCACGTCTTCCAATCACACGTAAAAACAGTAATGTGTGGCAGAAATGCAACACATTTCGAAAGCGAATTCCTGTACTTCGCAATTTGAAGGCGAGCATACTGACCGCTCGAAGGCGCCACTCGTTATGAGAGTGCAGTTCAATACCCTAGACCGGTCAGCCCCATCAAGTCATTTACTCACAAACATGGAAATTGCAAACCAAGGTAACGGAGAATTGCAATGAGAAGAAAACACGAGGTGCTGAGACGCCAAAGAAGAAACCAAGGTTGCAATCTCAACGCGCCGCCGGCGACAGAATATTGACTAGAGCGCGAAAATCTACGTCACTCGCACTGAAAAACTTATCGAAACACGTTTATCCTGAGCATCCTCCTCGCGTAAAGTGTGAAATGGCAATGTGCGCTGCGAAGCGGGTCACCTCAAGCAACATCTGCGTCAAAATCCACGGAACACCGTTCTCTAAGGACTAAGCTTTGAGAGAGAGGCACTGACCGGTGTACCGGAAGCTAGATTTCGGCATTCTCTGGAGTTCGTCCTCGAAATAGTGTGGCATGGTAATGTGAAGCGCGAATACCAAATGCTCGCTCGACAGAGTACAACTTCCACGCGAATTTGGCCTAGACAGACACAACCACGCCTTCCTCTATACTCAGAGTCTGTTAAATTGCTTATTCAAGACTTGTTATACACTATCCCTCATAATTTGCCTGGCGAATCATGCATGGACCGATTCCATAACCAAATACTAATTCCACATATATGTAGAAACGGTTGCGTGGCTTAATCCTACCAAAAACTCGAATGACAACGCAATGATCTCCTTCAACCTTTCACTGAATAGGACTATGAAGATTGACAAAAAGATACGACTTTCAAGAATGTTGGGAGAAGTCTAGAGTCCGAATTCTAGGAAAAAGCTGGACTGTTTTGAAAGTTGTTTGACTCCGACATTAATACTCATATAGTTGAGTTTGAGTACTCTAAACATTAAATTTCGTTAAATACCGATAAATTTCGATATGACACTTTATTGATGCCTCCCTCAGCTAAAGACGGCGCATATCAGGGCGCACCTTCCTAACGATGGTGTCTTCTACGCATGCATTTGCTTGATATTTGAATGATGGTGTTTTTCATGTCTATAAAGGCCTTAACCGACCATACATCCGCCCGGTTGATTCACGACTGCGCCATATGCTCGATTTAAATAGCGCATTATTAAGACCTGATTCATAGCAGGCGATCATGACAAATAACTCAATAATGGCAATGTCTAGTGCTCTAGCCTCTATTTTAGACAAGCCCATTTGAAGGAAGCTTAGGGTAAATTTTCGAGGGGGTTAAAGAAAGCGTTCGAAACCAGGGGTCAACCGTCCGTTCGAACTGTTCGAACGAAGGGGTCGCATTTTGGTCGGAAGGGGGTCGCAATTTCGAGGACTGCCAGCCACAGGCGCGTGCGTGGCGTATCCGAGGGCAAGAATTGTTTGTGCAGACCGCATTAGATTCGATTAATTATGCACAGAGAGACAGTTTTAGGCAAATTACGGTGTTTTCCTTGAGGAATAAAGAACAGTTGAATGCATCCCTATGAAAGGTTTGACTTCTCGGGGCTGAAATTAAAGTTCTTCGGGACCTAATTTTCTGAGGACGATTCTTCCAGACAACGGTAAAACACATAAGAAAGCAGAAATCTCGTAGTCTTCAAAAATGTCTTCGCCCCTCCCCAACAAGTTCTTTGAAGGAAGTTATTATTGCTGAAAGCTCAAAAACTCGCATGTGCTGCTCAAAAACCTATGGGAACAAAATGTTCGAACGTGTGATTTTCTCGGAAAATGAATTTTGAAAAACGGTTTGGCTTGTTAGAAAGAGCAAATCCTGCTCTTTCACCCCATGGAAAGTGTGCATCACAGAAATGAAAATGAAGTGAGTTATGCCCGCTGAAAGCCCAAAAACTCGCGATTTCAAAAAAAGTGTTCGAACGGGGCGATTTTTTGAAAAAGAGGACAATCGTCAAACTTTTTATATTATTTTGTTAGAGAAATATTTGATGTTTCTGAAACTTTTTATAGATTTCCAAAATGTCGCATACGAAAGATTTTATGGGCCTTCAAAGTTGAAGGTGCGCCTTCTTAGAATTTTGGGTTTTCCACTTCTAACAGAAGTACTTTCCGGAGAGTTAGGCAATCCTTGTAGTTTTCTGGAAGCGCACCTCAGGCACAATCAAAATCTACCTCAACAAGTCAAAAAAATACGTCCCAAGAAAGTTATTCCCCTCTAAAATTTTTTCTTCGCCGCGTCCCGTTCTTCCAGCGCCCGGGTGATACCTGCCGCGCTCCAAGGCCGACGCGACGACGCGCAGACGCTTTCTGGCGCAACGGATTCATGTCTAGCACTCTTATTAACAAAAACAGGGGGTCGCAACTGGACCCCCTCGAGAGCTAGGGGGTCGCAAAAATCCCGAAAATGTTCGAACGTGACGGTTGACCCTGCTCCAGACGGCTCTCAGGGTGGGGGAAAAGTCCCTAACGCCCCGGTAGACAAGAATATAAAAACTGATTGTGAGCGAAAACGTCGGACGATCTAAGCCTTCTGAGGGTAATATATACTCTACTTCTTAGCGAACCCCGTCTCCTCAGCACGCGCGGTTGGCTTGCGCGCGTCAAAATCCTTTTCCCAATTGCTCTCGATTCTTCGGGCCTACCTGGCTGTCTCAGTGTCCTCGTGCCGCTATAAGGACGTCCTGGATCATAGGCATTTTTTTTCGATGTGCTAGGGAATCTGCCCATCGAGGAGGAGACGGCCTTGCGGATGCAAACCCTTTCACGTCCAAAACGTAGGTGAGGTAGGGTTTCCGGCGGTATGTTCCGGCGCCCCATCATGCCATTGATAAGTCGTCTCACTGTCCCTGAAGCGTCACCGATCGTCTCACGGATAGCGCTCCGCCCTATACTATGTAGCTTTCCCGTTCGTTCCCCTGGGATTTATCGCGACCACTTCCTCTAATGAAGTTTCGGCTTCATTCACACCACAGTCAATTTCAGAGCCACTTTAGGCCATCCACTTATTTCATCTTTTGGAACAGAAAGGTAAAAAAGGATAAAGGATAAAGCATTTGCCGTTGATCAATCCCTTTTTGGGATGCGGCACGCATTCTACTTCCATTTGTACATTCGCAGTGGCATTTGAATGCGATGTGGCCTATACAATGACTTGCGGGGGCCAGCCGATGTTCAAGTCAGTGTTTTTATCCTCCGCTTGCCCCCCCCCTCCCAGACAAGTCTGGTACCAATTAACCGACCCCGGGGGGATGGAAGGCTTGGTTGGCCCGGCCGACTCACGACCCAGGATTTGATCCCCGGACCGCTCGCGTGGTAAGCGTGCCACTTGCCACTACACCATAGATAACTTGAACAAGTTAGAAAATCAGAGCTAAAGAGAATGACCCAGTTCCGTATGAGTGACTGGAATTCCACGTAATTCTCTAAAAGAGATTCACCTCAGTGCGGGAGGCGTTCCAACACCGAAAACACGGTGCCACGGTCCGACTGAGAGGATTTGCATTTGAAAAACTGTCGCAGTTGGTACCTATTGCTGAACATCTCATGTGACAATTCCTCCCATATCGATTTATTTTACTGTGAAAATGACTGTGAACTATAACCTTTCTGTTTCCACTTCTCGTCCATGGACATTTATTCGGCTTTTCTTCAGGTGAGTTCTCTTGGAGAAGTTAAGTTTAAAGCATTCGGTGTTGATACCCCGTTTTAGGATGCGCCACGTATTTTTGTTCTGATTAGTAAAACCGGCAGAACGTGCATTCTAGTCAGCACCAAAATAACCTTATTACATGAAATCCGATGCCCACATTCTTGTACAAGTCCAAGTGTCAATCCTCGGGGCCGTGAGTATGCTCATCCAGACAGAAATCCTTTAAAATTTCCTCTGTCTTCCAACTTGGGATTGTCCTGATAAAGGGCCTACATCTTAATATATGTGTGTATGCTTAAAGTGAACATGCATTGAAAATGAAAGAAAGTATCACAAAACAAAAAATTTAAGGGACTTTCGTCCCCCAAGCCATTCGGGGAAGCATACCCATACTCCCCCTGGAGGAATGTGCTTCTGATTGCACGACCCCGCAGGGATGGAAGGCTAGTTGTGGTTTGGGTGGTGGGGTTACCTTAATGATCAAAAAACCGGTTCCAGCCATTTGAAACTGCTCATAGATTGAAGGATTGATTGATTGATTGGTTGAACGACTTCCATCTCATAGAGAGAATTTATCACGGAAAGACAAAGTTTCTTACACTTGTAGACGTACAAATTGATCTTCACTATAGATGATCCATAATTCTTCTCAGATCCATTTTATGAGCTCCTGCGCTCGGCAGGCAGTGCCAGTACTGAGTGTGTGTGGTGGAAATTGGAACATGATTCGACCCCTATTTGGACCTAGAATCATGTTATGAATCGCAGGCTTGGGCAACCCCGTCCTTGCAATTCAACATCTTTTTCAAGATACTGGAGCTCTCTCTAAATTCGTGCTCACGTCTAGCTGGTCGTAAAACTCAGCCTAGATAGTCGCGCACGACATAAAAGACAGTGAAAATGACGGTTGGAGGGCGATTTCGGTGACCGTCGTTGAGCGTGATCGGTGGAAGGGCGTTAGGAGGTGGTGCCAATCCACCAATAGCCCTCTGATGACGTCGTCAAAACCGCTCCACCCTCTAGCCATCAGGTTCAATGAATTCGAGAAAGGTGCACCTACCTAAGAGAAATACCCTGAAGTTCAGTTGTGCTTTTTGAACCTTGTTTTGATTCATGAAAGAGGATCATTCAGCATGAACGGATTCCATATGGGAAAGCTGTCTGGATACAGTATCTGATATGGCTCGGGTTGTACGGCTTTTTAAGCATCATCTATCGTTTCGCACTTAATGGATGGGAGCGAAGGGGAGGTTGGAAGAGGGCCGCCGCACGTCGCCGACCGAATGATCTCGTTGCGCTTCATGTAGAGCTTGTTCACTTGCATTTGAGTCACTGCAGCCAATTTTTAGCCCAGAAATAGCTCCGAAAACTGAGTTCAATCAAAGAGTAAAGAAAAAGGACAATTCTATCAAAAATATCCCTATTTACTAAATATACATATATATAAGATATCAAAAACACGGAAAAAAATAAAATTTTTATCAAGTCGGTGGAATTCTGGAATTCTTGAGAGAGCTGTCGCGATTCTGTTTTTTTTTTGTCACAGAGTCATATTTTGCCAGATTCCAAAGGAGACTTCGGTGGAACTTGTGGGATCTCAGTATAGAGGTAATGGAGTCGTTCCTGACAATTTTTCTGAACCACCATTTGCGAAATTTCTACAGGAAAATGCTGCAAAATGGGCGGATTTGGGAAGTTTTATGTTTCATGACTCATATCCCCCTCCAGTCCACTTCCCTTCCCTCCTCGCCGTGCGCACCACAGTTTTGTAAGGTAGCATTAAAATAAGGTCGCTGGTGGAGGATCAAGGAAGTGGGTAGTGAAGAGAGGCCTCATGCGCCGACCCTTCAAGGCCCATCCGGAAGGTCTAGATCCATTAAAAGGATCGCGATCGAAAAAATTCTGGACACGTTGCTGACGCCGGCTGGCGACCAGTGCGAGCACACCGATCTAATAAATGAGACAATGCAGATTAGCTACTCAAAAGTATTCGTCATCACTCCCAAAGAAAGTCAAAATTCGCAGTCAAGACATAAAACTACTTTTGAAAACTGGTTTCAATTCGACGAGGTAGTACATCGCGCCCGCACGCGGCAGTACATGCTGACCCTGTTGCAACCTAAAAAGACTCTGGCTCTCGAAGATGTTCCGCCTTTCGTTCTTCACTAACAGATGTAGAGACTATCGAAGGATCTTCTCTGAGTTTTCTCTCAGTTTCGGGACTTCGAATTCGAAAAAGCCATTTTTTCTCCAAAAATTTGAATTCACGAATAAATCTTATGCTCTGTTTTAAGGGCTTTTACCAACCTTGTCGACTTCACTAACCCTCGCCTTTCGTACGTTCCACTTGATTTGATGCTCGGATTTTTCGTGGCTGGCGTCTTGAAACGATTTTGGTATCTCTACAATATTATCGGATTTATGGACAAGTGAGATTCATCATTTTTCTGTTATTTTTTTCATTACTCTTTAGCCGTTCATCCTATATTCGATTATTTCCAAGAAAAAAAAAAGATCTCACCCTTGGATAGACCCTGATTTTACAGTAGCACATCTCACTGTGGAACCACAGTAAAACCGCATCCAGAAATTAGAATTTTTGCAAACTCAAATTCTAGTCGGTATTCTATGATAATTTTTAGTATCGCCTTGATGACAGCACTGTACGTGCGCGGAACGGCCGAAAGAGCTCGTCAATACCGTCGCAATATTGTACGATACTGTCAGCTTACACAGGTATTCCATATCAGCAAATAAAGTACTTATACGAAAATACTTGCACTACTCAGAAAATTTACGGTGCTAAGTTAGCTGGGTAGAGGGAGGGGCAGGTGCGCCGTGGCACGCAGCATGTTCACGCCCTCCCCCCAGCGAGATGGTGTAAAATTGCGTATTCCAGCTTTTCGAGCATTCCAAGTGGCGCGCCTCGACCCCTTACCCCAGTGAGCTGCTCACGCTTCCCCTGGCCCATGAATCCCTCATTATGCATGGAATGCGGAATTTACTATGGGAAGGCAGTTTTCTAGAATACAAGTTAGAGGTGGTCAGTGGTGCAAGGATGAAGAAAAACATAAGAAACGGCCCAGAACCTAAATGGGACCCCTTTATTGCCGCTGATTTCCGCATCACTACGACTCTCATCGGTGCTGCTCTCTTCAACGCTCTCTCTGTTGAAATAGTCGGACGGTGATCACCTATCAGGACGTGCAAAGGAGCTACGGTGCGAGTGCGGCCTCGCTAGACACTAGGACATGCTCCCCGTTGCTAAACGCGCATTGCCGCACACTTATTGCTAGAGAACCCACCTGCTTTTCAACTAGGTCTATTTCTCCTTCTTCTACCTTCGACCTTTACCTCGCGGAATCCACCTTCAAAGTTCGCGGACATGCCGCGCGCCGCGGCGGCGACTGCCCCGCCCCCACTCCAGCTAGTTTCGCATTAGGTATACAAGCTTCCGTTTGAAAAAATGGAGAAGACGGCAGCTTCTAATGATATTGAAATTCCTTATAAGGTTCTCGTCTTCCGTGATCTGTCAATGAAATGCCGCAAGCGGTTTCCGACGCTCGACACCGTTGCCGCAGCTGGTACGTTTTATCTAGTCGCTTCTCATAACCAACGATTAAACACACGTTTATTACTCTGTGATTATTATCTATTTGTATTTTCTTATTTGATAAGAAGCCATAACAGGGGTGGTCTATTAGCAAGTCGCGCCACTCAACATGCACATGGTCCGGTGATCGCATCCCTGTTTGATTCTGTCGCTCAATTCCGAACCAATGTTCCCAATCTTACGTGAGAACACTAATAAGTCAAACGTACTGTCTTTGGAGCTGAGAAACTTGAGTCTAGGCTAGCGTAAGTCATCTGGATGCCCAAATGCGCTTTTTCAAAATCGACTACTATACAGAATGGATTGTCGCATGCGTGGCGCATCTCAAAATTGTAATCAACGCGACTTGCTTCATCCGTTTCTCCTTCTTGCAATTACCTTCATTGCTTCCTAGGATTGAAACCTCTTCGGCTAGCTTCTTATGAATGTAGGGCACGCGTATGAGAACCCTTTCTTATTTGGTGGTCTGGGAAATCTGCACTACTTCGGTTTTGCTGTAGCCTTGGACAGAAATTTAGGCTGACAGCGTCAGGGCGCTTAGTGTGCGATAGCGAACATGACGTGACCCGAACCATTTTATTCTAGTGTATCAAATTCCGAATAAGAGCTGTGACCAGGAAAAACTTGCTGGCTAAATCATAAACTGGCACCGCGCGCCATTGGTCGCCATGTAGCTTTCTGAACTTTTCATTGCGACTCCCCACCACCTGTGAATGCGTTAACCCACGCTATTGCTTCGTATAACCAGGTGTTGAAAACCTATTCAACTAAGACAATAGCTACACTCTGATAATATGTAACTGAGAGACTGACGACAATGATCAGTATTACTACCTTCACCAACGTGACGAATCATAATACAATTCGATTATACCGTTGGTTAGAGCGAAGCAGCCTCGCGATAGATACCCAGGCTTGTGCAGTGCTGCTTTATAGCTTGAAAAATGAGGGTGTCTGTTTCGGTGGTAGCCAAAGCCTTCCGATTGCAGAGGAAGACGTATTGGTAGCGGGTGGAGCTGCTTACCATGCAGACGATCGAGGGCCAAATTCTGCATCGTGCTCCGTCGGGGACAAAAAAGGCTTCCGTCCTTATGCGATCAATTAATTGGTGCCAAACTTGTCTAAGAACGAAACCCGATAACCAACGGCGATAAAGGGATACTGAACAGCAAACGCATTGCCTCCGTGCGCGTTTGATCACCTCCCCCTTTCTTTCAGTGTCCAAGAATGACAAACGTACTCCTGCTAGTCGCCGATCCGAGGCTATCGAGCATACCTGGAATGTTCTTTATATTACGTAGCAGTTTGCATTTAGCGCCATTCCCATACTGACGCCAACCCTCCTGCCTAGACTGTCGTTGATCGTACTCACCTATCGCTAGATTCATCGATGGCGTCCACCGTATGATAGTGAATCTGTCCGAGCCTATAACTCGTACCTCCTCTCGTGGATATTTCTCGCTAAAGATTCACATTCATTGACAGATTCAGTGATCCCTCGGCCTATCATCGTATGCAATGACTTGTGGGGGCCAGCCGATGTTCAAGTCAGTGTTTTTATCCTCCCAGACAAGTCTGGTACCAATTAACCGACCCCGGAGGGATGGAAGGCTTGGTTGGCCCGGGCGACTCACGACCCAGGATTTGATCCCGGACCGCTCGCGTGGTGAGCGCGCCACTTGTCACTACACCACTTCCGCCCATAAATACCCATAAAACTGACTAATAGAACTAGTTATAGACAAAAATAGACAAAAATAAGAACTAAATAAAATAAATGAAAATAACGAGATAAAACTAACTTGTACATCGCCTGGCTCACTCATTCAATCATTGTGGGGGAAATATCACATGCAAAAAGTCAGCACGATTCTGAATGGAAGTAAGATGCATGACTTATCCCAAAAATTGATCAACGTTACTATGTTTTGTGCTTTTTGCTCGAATTTTCAAAAGATACTACCTTTCTTGAAGGTCGAAGAGATTAATAATCAAGATAATCACCTATACCTATTGACATAACATAACATTGTACAGTAGCTATGATAAATATAAATATATATGATAATAGAACTATACAAATATGATTGTCAATAAGCAATTAACTCTGAGAGCTTAGGATTTATGATGCCCCATGAGAAGGAGAACTTCGATGGAATACAATACAAGTATAACAAGTACTTTTTGCCGTTCAACTGGGCATGGGCACTGATCTACAAAGCAAGACAGGAGGGACTGATTGAGAGTGACTACTATGTGACTGTTCTTTCCGAGGTTCGTTTATTTTACTTATTAAATATTTCGCTGGGACGAAAATTACCGCCAGAATTGCTGTATTAGGCTCAAGCACTCTGACTAGCAAAAGTTGGCGTAAAGCGACAACACACACCCATTCACCTCAACTTATCCTAGGCAAAGTAAGTGCATGGCGTAACCCACGAATTCTGCAGTTTATATATAATTTTTCTGGGATGCTGCAGCGGATAATGTACTATTCCAGTCAGGTGGGGAAGGGGGGAGGGGGTTCGTGCGATAGATTGCGCCGCGGGTAGTATCTCCAATTTTTGCAAGGGAGGAATTTCCCTAGGTGGCGAGTAAACAATTTAGCTTCGGTTTCTACGATCACCCTGAGGCTTCCTTCCCCTGTAATGATTTGGATTACTGTAGGCTGCACGAGTTGTTGCCCCACACGCCCTCAACTTACCAGTGTCAATTCATAAGATTATAAGTTCAGGAAAACAGGATGGCATACTGTAACCCGCATTAGTTCTCCGAATCGCGTTGCAGGCCTCCAGCGCGCAAAGCTAGTGCTAGGGTGCGAGCGACGGCAATGAATGAGGCTGACTCGGCCGGTATACCGCCCATGTTCCTGTAGTTTTAATCTTCTGGTCAATTCCGCTTGTAAAAGTACAAGTGCGGGGTCATACCTGGGGTTTTCGAGGGGGATCGTATTTGGATTTGACAATGTTTCACCAGTTCTTAGTAGAGTGTGAACGGGGGGGGGGGGAGGTACAAGTGGATGCTGAAGAGGACGTGGTTGCGCGAGTTGATGGGGCTCATTTTTTATGGTATCTCAAGATTTTAGCTCAAGTCAGAAATCAGCAGCTGTTTTCAGGAAGTGAAAAAATTCCGTACTGATCTGGCATGGTTGTGCAATTACGACTGGGTACCGTTGCCGATGATTTATCCGACGATTGTCTGTTTAGCAGTACACACCTACTTTTTAGTAGGAGTAATCGCTAGACAACATGTTGAGGGACCAGCTCACAAAGACGAAGTGAGTGTTATCGAATGGTTTTTGAGCTATAATTCGTAAAGCAAGGGTATTGCAGCCACTGAACAGTCCTATGGTTGTAGGTTACCAATATAGGCATGCGGTATACGCCAGTTACCCTGTCCCTTCACCACGTACTATAGTTATCAAAACTTGTCCACCATTTAAGTCTAGGCAAAAGAAACATAAGACGTCGGTTTATTTGCGACTGAAACTGTTCGACATCGACCCAACATCCTTTCGGTGTGCGCCACGCGCTCTGTTCCTTTCAAAGATTCGAATCGGGATTTGACCCTAGAATGTAAACGTAGAAAACAGTGCCTCCTGCCGTCACACCATTTCTATCTCTTCATTTGACCCTTGACCCTTAATTTTTTGCTAGTTATTTAGCTCCAAAGTGATCCATTATTTACCAATGTCTGATTCTTGATCTTTCATGTTGCATAATAATAACAAAAGGACTCGGTTTTACTCGATATAATCCAGTCCGTTTTTCAATTTGGAAACCTTTTAATCTTCCCTCTGTGAACCTCTGGGCACCAAATTTATTGTCATTTCTCCACCTACTCATTTTATCAACATTCAGATCGATATGGTCTTTCCGTTCATGACCAGCATTCAGTTTGTCCTCTACATGGGATGGTTAAAGGTTTGTCAGTGTTCGACTGAAAAAAATCCCCTCAGCAACTCATTCAATCGATAGAATTGAACTTTCGCAGCTAGTAGTTTCACCTGATTCAGGTGGCCGAGGCTCTGCTCAACCCATGGGGTGAAGACGACGATGACTTCGAGACGAATGTGCTTATCGACCGAAATTTAGCGGTACGCTTTCTGGTAGATGGAAAAAAGAGTGAAAAAAGTGTGACGAAATGGTGAAGAATATGATGGCAACAAAACAAAATTACCTATAATTTGGGCATAAAATCCACCTAATTCTTCGGTCATGTACGTACTCAGTATTTTCAGGGGTGTTATGAAAAAGATAAGTATCGATTAGGAGGATTGGAGATCAGTGATCACGAGATTAGGAAATTCGGGAGGAAGGATTAGATGCCTCTAACTGGTTTTGTGGTAGCTACTTTCCTCCAGATTTTAGTTTTCCCGATTTATTATATGTCATCAATATTTATTACCCTATTAAGTATTACTCTTGCGTGAATTCGACGCACTAGGGCCGAGTGCTGCGAACTTGGTAGGGATCGCTCCTCTGAACTTCTTCTACTCGAAATCTCTATTATTGGGGTTATTGGGACTTGCTTGAACTTCTGAGCACGAACATGTTTACCGATAGCCCTCGTGGACTAAGCGGTTAGCGTGCTGTTCCAGGAAGGAAATAAAGCCAACTTTGAAGTGAAGATTTGTTGAATAGCTTAGGGGTTGTTTGCTCAGAAATGGATACTCAGTACGTGCTGCTAACTCCCAACGTCCTAATCCTAATAAGTATGAGTATGAACGAGGCCTAAGGAGTCGATCAACCAGTTATGATCGAAGAGCCTTGCGTCAGCATGGCCGCAACGTTAGCCCTTTACATGTTATTGGTGGCAAACCTCACCTACAGAATACCTCCCACACGAGTTTCAAAACGCTTAAGTCTCTACGTTGAAAGTATAAACTAGTCAAGTACTGAGTGGTAAACTCATTTTTTCTCTTGTAACAATCCAGCAATTTACAGATGGGCCTAAAAATTGTCGATGAGGGTTACGGTCGAACCCCTGAGCTACGAAAAGACGCGTTTTGGGACGATGAATGGGTTCCATTGTATTCAGAGGAAAGTGCTTGGGAGAAGAAGTACACTCAACATGAAGGATCGCTT